TGCTTCTTTCCAAAGATAAAATAAAAAGCCACAACACAAAATATGACATGAACAACATTTAATCTCTGATGTTTCAGACATACTTTAGGATATTGGAGGGCCTGAGGGTTGAGCCCTGGAGAGTGACTACTGATCCTTGGGATACGGTGTGGATGTACAGTGCTGCCTGAAGGGAGGCAGCATGCAGCCTGGAATGCGGATCAGAAGCCCAGCTCTGGTCCCAGCTCTGTTACTAAGTAGCAGGGACCCTGTAGAAGTCACTTCCCTTCCCCAACATGTTTGGTAATATTAGAGCATCTCTAAGGCCCCTCACAGCTCCGATATTCTATAAATAACTAGCAGAGAATGTATTGGGTTCATTTTCCATAGGCACTGAGGAAGTTAAAAACTACTTGCAATAGTGTGAACAAGGCCTGAAACAGTTCTTCAATACTTACAAAGCCTCTAGGCTCAGGCTCCCATCTCAGGGTAGGCTCAGCCCTGGGGTCAGTCATGTGCAGACTGAGACAAGGAACAGGAAGGATAGGAATCAGGGAATCAGGGACCACTGCACCATTTGCTATTGAATGTATCAAGCCCATGGACAAGGACTTGATAAATCCTAGTGGAGGTGTGCTATGTGGTCACCTATCTTGCCTTCTCAGACCAACAAGCCCTGCTCCTCTCAGTCAACCAAGAGTTTTTAGTTACAGGAATGTGTCCTATTGTTGGGATGGGGGACAGTGAGAAGGCAGCAGGTGAAGAGATAGGAAACCAACTCCTCTTGGCCTCAGGCCCCTGTCCAGAAGGCCAGAATGGCAAGAGGAATCCAGCGAGGCGTGCACCAGTATCCACCGATGGCCAGGATTCTGGGAGCCCCACATTTCCTGTGATGCTGCACTTGCCTAAGGTCACACTGACACATCCATTGTCTCATTTGACGTTTTTTTCCTCAGGCTTAGCCATCCCTCTCCACTCAGGTCTGGCTAGGCTGAACTCTACCCGATGCGTGAAAATCTCCAGCATGAGCAAGGACTCCTTGTATAGTATAAATAGCTTCAGTGATAATATACAACCTATAATACACACACACACACGCGCACACACACGCGCACACACACGCGCACACACACGCGCACACACACGCGCACACACAGTCTTGTGGAAATCATCTTCTGGACGATTCGTGCAGGATCTCATGGGAACAACCACCCTGAACAGGAGCATACACTTGGACTCTAATCCCGCCCTCCCCTTCACCTCAGAGAGAAGACAGCATCGGAGAGAAGCCACCCATGTCCAGCCCCTGGGTTGTGAGGTGGGAAGGGCTCCTTTGTGGAGCCCTGAGTCTCTTCTTGTAAGGCGGGCAGGGGTTGTGAGGGCAGCGCTGATGGCCAGTGATGACTCTACTCCTTCAACAGTCCCAGCTTCTTCAGAGCCTCCCTTCTGTGCTCATCAGGGATGCCTTTTGGGGAGATCTTGACACTGACACAGGCGGGTCGCGGCAGCTTGTCGCGGCTCTGTCCTTGGAAGGACAAACGTTTGGAGCTCTGCGCCTGCTCCAGGTCAGCCAATTTGCCCACCTGGATACCTGCAAAGTCCTTCCCTGTGCCCAAGGAGGCAGTGCGGGGCCGGGAATTACGCAAAACACTGGGTGAGATGTTGTCCAAGAAGAAGTCTTTTCCCAGAGAGGTGCTGTTTTGGGGTCTGGGATCTTTCTCAGCTGAGAAGTAGCTGCTCAGACCCACACCTGAACGCTCCAGAGTATTGGACTTAAAGTTCATCTGTCTTAGGCCAGGGGTGTTTTTCTCCTGGAGAGTCAGCCTTGAGTTTGGCTTTGGCTGAGTCAGGGGACTACTTCCCCCATGGGCCTTAGGGATGGGAATCGGCATGGATTTGGCAGCTGGAACCTTCCCTGGAGTGGGTTCCTGGGTAGGAATCAAAACCTTGCCTGGAGAAGAAGACCCCTGAACTAGAGCTGGCGTTGAAGCGAAAGTCGGAATATTCACTGGAAAAGGTCCCCGGGTTGGAGCAGGAGCTGAAGCCTTGCCTGCCGCAGGCCCCGCGGTTGAGACCTGAGTTAGAACTGCAGGCTGAGCTGGGGCTGGGAAGGGCCCCTGAGCACGAGTCTCCTTGAGTCTGATGGAACTGGTGGGCTTACTTAAGTGGGGTCTGGGCTCATCTTGGTCCTGGGGTAGCCCCAGCTTCTCTAGTGCTTCTTTGCGTGCTTTCCTCTGCTCCTGCAGTAAAGAGGAGGCCACACTGGAATCTCTAGGAGCAGCCTCAGGATGACGCGACAGCCAGTTTTGGGGCACACTGTGGAAACTGCTTCGGCTGCTCTTCAGAACAATATTAGGTGGCAGCTTCCGGGGCTTAGGTGCTGTGAGGGGAGCCAGGTGGACATCTGGATTCTCCCCTGATGGGTTGGGGGCATCTGCAGCTCTTGAATTCTGAGACGGTATGGCAGGAGCAGGCCGGGGTTGTCGTGGTGCCCCGATCGAGCCTTTCTCATTGGCTTTTTGGGACATGGCCTCTGAAGAAGTCTCCGCTTTCTTCTGGGGGCTGAGTGACGTGTGGAGCTGGGGTGTGGGGCTCTGCTCCTCTGGCCTTTCGGGCAGGCTGTCTTCCCCACACTGTTCAGGCTGGGTGTCCCGGAAAGCCTCTGGCGGGGGGATGAGTGCTTCCAAGTCAAGGGCAGCCTCCCAGGGCTCGGCAGGAGGCTGGCCGGGCTCACTTCTCTGACTGACTCGCTCTGTCTTAGGATCTGGAATGAGCCCCTCAGGTTCCCCTGGAAGGTGGCTATTAGCCTGGGGGGTGCTTTTCCTGAGGTTCTGGTTCCTGCCGATATGGATATTTCTGGGGAGGCTGTAGGAGCCTGATCTGAGGCCCAAGCCTTGAGGTTCAGGCAGACGGGGTGAGCTGGACTGGGTTGTTCTCCGTGGTACTAGGCCTTGCTGAAGAGTCTTCCCCTCTGGATGTCCTGTGAGGGTCCAGGAAAACAGGCAAAGAAGAGAGGACAGAGGTGAGAACTCTGCTGCATGGGAAAGCAAATACTTCCTGAACTCTGATCTCTAATTTGCATGGTTGGGTTTTGTTTTTGTTGTTTCTTTGGTCTTAAAGGGGCAGCACTCTTGTCTGGATATCTTTTAGACCAGCGGTTCTCAACCTTCCTAATGCCG